CATCAGACTGTAACCTGGGACATCACTGAATTTGTTTATATTTTGTGTTATCACTCCTGAGGGTCTACCTTAAGATCTAGGTAGACAAAAAAATGTTTCTTTCATAATGAATATTGCAAAATGGAGATCAGAAACATAATTTTACTTCTCAATCTATGCAATCTACTTGATGATTAAAGAATGATTTTAATCGTCAAAGTTTTAAAGTTTATTAAATGTTTATGATAATGCATTGAATGAATTCCAGACCTATACAAATACACAGGCAGCTGCTTGTAATTTGCACTTTTATCAGTTTCGAAAAAGCACGATGTAACTCCTGCTTCTTACTTGCATTTTATCATCTTTGGCTATCCAGTATACAGTATGGAGTACTTGAATATCTCATTCTTTGAATTTTCATTTTTGATTGTCAATCAGATGATGGCTGGCATTTTCTCTTTTCTCATTTTTTTCTTCTTTCAACCTTCAAGTTTACTTGCTTCCATTTCTTCTTGGCTCTGGTAATAAAATACACAAAATATTTCATTTTCCTTTATGGCCTTTTTGGGGGCATCAATAGCTTGTACTTTGTTAGTTACTTATAAATCTAGGACAAGGTAAAAGCTGCATTTACTGGCCATATTCATAAATTTTCAAAGCATCATTCTAATTTCATCTGTTTCTTACTGCATTCCAGTGGAAGGATGGAAAGGAAAGGAATAGAAATAGAAGTTTCTAGTCCTTTCAGTCCAATGCAGTGATTTCTTAGCCACTTAGCACTGGGAAATGTTACAGAGCTCCACACTGGTGCAGAGATGCCATGGTGCACATGGGTAGTGCCTGTTTCACTTTCTGAAGTGATGCTTCCTTCCCCAAAGGCTTCTATGATCGATTTTTAGTTATCTGGGATGGAAGGAGAGAAGGCTCCTGAGATAGAAGGTTGTGGGGAAGCCCAACCTTCAGTATTCCCAATTATCAACCTGCTGTAGCTCAGCAATTTCATTTCCATCTATTATTTTCAGCAACTTTTTGTTTTTTGGTACCACCTTCACTCACTCTACATTAAGTGCAGTCACATGGAAAAAACTGTACAAAGTTTGATAGTGTAGTCAGTTTCAAAAGCAACAGAATTCTCTTGAAGTATCTGACTATTAACTTGGATTATCAAACTAATTCATATGGAAGATACCCAAGGTATTTGTAAAGCACACTTTTGAATATGTTTGCTGGGGCACAGAGGCCAATCCTGGGTGCTACATGTGGTCCCTGGTGTTCTCCCTCTGCTTTCTGCCTCCCCACCACCATGAAATTTCCATGTTCCACTACTCCCTTCCCCCACATTATTCCTGCCTTAGAACCAGCCAAACATGAACAGAATCCTCTGAAACCACAAGTGCCAAAACCTCTCCTCCTTTACCATTGTTGGTGTCAGGTGCTTTGTCCAACAATGGCAAAATGATTGATACACTGTAGAATATGATTCAGAAAGAAGTAAAAACAAAAGAAAACCAACTATCTCCAAGTATATTAATATGTACCTGAGTCTGGATACTGACTCATAGCTGCAGTCAAAATAACTTTCACGCTAGCTTTTGTTTTGGAAAAGTGAAATGAGAGTCTAGATGACTAGTTTTGGTGTGTTCTGGTATCTTCTAGAAAGTTCTAGTAAATGAGTTGGTAGATTTCACACTATTTTGAAATTTTTAGGCTGCTTATCTGTCTCAGATCTCCATCCATGCAACTTTTTCATTTTATCTTCTGTAATCTTTCAAATTTACTGAACCATCCCAAAGCAGAGTGAGAGAAGACATCAAAGACGTTTCATTGAAACAAATGCTCAAGTCAGGACCACCTGAAACCTTAACTATGAGGAGGTCACAGGATCCTATCGCCTCCCAGAGCACAAGCTACAAAGATGGGGAGAACATGGTCACGCAACAACCCCTGGCCAATTCATTTCAGGTGCCCTGTCAGCCTGGGCCACCCCATGGCTGTCTAGTAGGTATTGACATATTCTAATATTTTATTTATACACAACACAGTTTTATATATTTGCATTCAAGTACACCAAAAATCTCATCCTAACATATTATGTAATTGAAGCAATCATTATGCCTGGAAACAAGGAAAAAATTATAGAAATGGATTTTCTGGCAATACATAAACATAGCAAGAGAAAAAAATAAAGAAAATTTGCTAGTAGACATGATAATTGCTAAGCTCCAAATGATTGAATATATATTTTAGGTTTTTTTGGTTTTTGGTTTTGTTTTGTTTTTTTTTTTTTTTTTTGGTTTTTTTTTTGGAACTGGGAATTGAACTCAGGCCCTTGCACTTGCCAAGGAAGCGCTTATTCCACTGAGCCATCTCCCTGGCCCCAGAATATATATATTTTAATGTTTTCTAAAATATGCTCCTTGATCTTAAAATTTACTTTTAGAATTTCATGATACATTAAAATCACTAGTAAACATTTACCTGGATATATCTTTTCAGTTTTTGAATATGATTTTGAAAAAGGAATTCTTTTCCTCCAGGCTGAACCATTATATGACGTTGACGTGTGTTTGTCTGAGAAAAAAAGAAGACTGTTTTTAAATATTTCAAAACTTTCCAGTCATACTCCAAAAGGCTGCAAAGTGGCAAATGCCTCAGTGGAGAATCTATGCTATAAATATTTAATTAAGCTGAAGCTAAACCATCAGGAGTATAAATGAGTTTAGTAAGATCATTTAAGTTATCAGTGAACATGGTTATAGATCTCTTAATTCCTCAGATAAGGCTCTCTCTCATGAAGCTAATATTTCACACATAACATAATTTAATATACAATTTTACTATGTTTGGAGCAATTTATTTATTTATTTTTAATGTGTCTAGTACAGGGTCTACAGGGTCTCACTACACATATCAGACTCATAGTGATCTGCCTGTATTCAGCCTCCCAAGCACTGGGATTACAGGCACACGCCACCACACCCAGTCTCAATCACATTCTCACTCTTCCAGCGGGGCCAGCTAAGGTGTCTGGCTGGCCGTTGGACAGATTTTTTTTTTTTGCCATAATTTTATTGAGAAACAAATAGCAATGAGACAGTTTCAAATCAAATCGGTAGGACAGTTTCAATAATTAACACACTGCATACATTCTTCTTAGTGGTTAATTGCTGTACAAGATGCGGACATGATATCCTATTTACAAACATCATTAGAACAAATCATTCTATTCATTAAGAGAATGCAACTATATATCTATCCCAACCACTTTGAATACACAGATACAAAATGGACATTCATCTGTATCCCCTTTTTTTGTTAAGTTCCATTATTTGAATGTTATAGGTGTGCTAACTCAGCAAAATATTCTAAAAGAGTCCAGTAGCCCATAATAGAATTGAGTCTTCCGCTTTACTGGCAATGTCAGAAATTGTTGACCTGAGTCCCCCACAGCTCAACATAACAGTTTGGCTTTACTTCTTATATTTCGTCTTCATACTTTTCTGCTGGATGGTTAAGACCAAGGTAAAGCAGGACCTGTGCAACAAGAGTTGTAGCTTTTTGGTTTGAGAAGGTCAGTGAAATGCCCTCAGGATTTATCCTGAGATCCTGTACCTCAGATTGTAGAAGCTTTGCCAGTGTCAGCCATGTGGATGAGTCACAGTGGACAGATTTATTTTTAAAATAAAGCAACATGAGATAACAACCTAATTCTTGTTTCCTTCTAATGGAATGACATCTATGATCACAGTACTCATGCTGCAATAGTGAACTCACAGCCCCACAAAACCAAAGCATTTATATAGATGCTTAAAGATCCACTTTTTCTCTCGCATTTCCCAATTTCAACTATTAATACCAATTTGTGTCTTCAAGCACTACGATCCAACTGTGAATCTCAAATTGTGGCTTATAACAATAGAGAATGTGCTGTTATTTGCACTGATGGTGCAAAAGCAACAGAGATGTCACTGGTGGAACTTTCATACAGATCTTGACACTAACAACAGAGTATTCCAGTACTCATTCTGGTCTTTACATTCATATACTTCTAGTAGAATATTAATAATAAGAATATAATCAGGGCCAGCCAAATAGCTCAGTGCATTAAAGCACCTGCAAACAGGCACAGGGGCTGGGGGTTTGATTCCTGGGCCTGGTGTGCCAGCCCTGCCTACGGGGTGCACTGAGAGTGGGCGTGGTGGCACATGCCTGTAATCCCAGCTCTTGGGAGGCTGTAAACAGGAGAATCACCACGAGTCCTATTAGTAGAGACCCTGAACACCTTGTAGACCCTTCTCTA